TCTTGGGTTGCGAGCACAGAACTTGAACATTCTGCCGGTTTGCTATCTGTTTCGATTTGTGGGTGACCCCATGAATATACTGGACCACTCCAAAGGGCTTCTTAGATTTCCATACTGCGTCTTCACTGTGGAAATTTTTACTTTTGATAGTGCGGCATATTTGTTCACAAATCGATGCCGACAAGGGCCTTGAATACACGGTATCGTGAAGTCGGAAAATTTGGGTATAAAATCTTTGTTGGACTTGATGTGGGCAGGTCTTCTTTAGGCTTGCGGAAAGGGCTGCAATGGCCACTACTTGCTTAACAATTTTTGAATGTTCGAATTTATATGAAAAAAGTCCTTTCCCCAATCGTGCTTGCTCTAGCCAACATACATACCTTGCTTGGAATTCTAACTCCAAATCAAGACACCGAATTGATCTATCGACTGGAGTCTCGTGATGGAAGGTGAGGCCCATGCAGGTTTTTTTGGAATTGTGCCAGGGTGGCTTTAATCCATCTATCGGCTTGTTCGTTGACTTCTGTGTTACACAAAATATAAAAATCCTCTACACTCCTAAAATAGCTCCTATGCGTACCACTTTTATGGCTCCTTGGATAGCTTTTTCACACTTCGCAAGAAAGATTTCCAATAGATGCGGAGTCACTTGGGAGCCAATGCAAACGCCACTCCTTTGCAGATACTGGTGCTCTTGATGGGCAACTAACGTCACTGACAGGTAGAATCTTAAGATTTCCAAGAAGGTGCCTAAGCTCATGCCTGCGTTGTTCAAGAATATGGTGAGCCCTTTTTCCTCGATTGTGGCTTGGAGCTAGAACGTGTATGAAGCTCGTGTGCGGGATGGAACAATACATGTCCTCCACTTAAAGAGAAAAGCAAGAAGCGATGAGGTGCCCTTGATCTTGAAGGAAGGATATAACATGTTCCGAGTTTGGTATCCGGAAAGTGTCTTCAATCTGTACGTTGGAAATTTTTTGAACCAAAAATTTTGACATGCATATCTGCCATGCGTTTCTTTGTGATACGATGGCCCGGAAGGGAACTCCTTTTCTATGAGTTTTGGCTGACAAGAACAGTGATAATATGTAATTGTTTGCGGCTCTGATCTTGGTGCTGAGACCTGGCTTTTGAGCATCGTCTAGCAATCTGAGGATTGCTTGTTTTTCTGCTTTGGTTTCTAGTTTGTCAACAGGGATAAAACTCCTGGTCATGGCTTGGTGGGTTTTCTCTCCATATGTGTCGGATGCTAGAACCACGAATCCTTCTTGCTTGTCTGAGACGCATAACTTCAGTTTTGGTCCGCAGCTCTTCTATAATGGGTTCGAAGTTCACATTTGCCTGGGCCTGGTGGTTTAGGCTAGGAAAGACTTGACTTCCCTCGTCAATATTTTGTGGTCCTCAGTCTTGCGGGGCTTTTGGGGATGTTTGGCGTATGAGGGTTAGCTCGCTTACAGCCGCAATCTTGGGTGCCATAGCGCATTTTTGAAGCACCTGTTCGCGCTCTGGCTGATATAGGAACATTCCCTATTAACTGCAGCGCACTTCTTTTCATAGTTATCATACCTTGTAGACACCAGGCACAGAACAAGCTTCGTACGTTCCGTGCCGAGAGGCGTCGTTTACAGCATACCGTTGCATGTGGGCGCTGCTATAGCGGACAGACCGGGCGCTGCATAAACGACCATGCACGTGAACATGTAACCAACCGGAAGAAGCCTCCGGGCACCACGACACCTCGCTGCCCACTGTCGAACTTGCAAGCGCAAAGCAAGCTTGAGCAATCACGCATCATAAGGCACCATAAAGAAAGAGCTCGCAAAGGAGATGTTGGAGGCCTTGGCTATAAAACAATAGATGTGAAAACTGTGTGAGGTCCGCCTCGATAAGCCTGCAACCTCAAGAAAATTTCTTTCTACAGGGCGCCCTTCCTGCTGAGTATAATAAGATGGTTGAAAATAAAAGATAAACAAAGCAGAAGCAAAAGGATAGGCATAAGAACTTGTAGAAGAAAAGGTCGGTTTAATAAAATAGTTGGTAGTCCAGCGGTCGGCTGTTTTCTATTTCTCCTTCCTTCCTTGTTCACCTGGTTCCACGCCTGAGGTAGGAAACACTAGTGGGCGCCAACGAAAAAATTCTCACTGCCAGCACTTTTTTGCAGAATCACTTGGCAAACGACCCAAGTTTTGGCCTCGGTCATGCAATTGGAACGTCGGTTTGAGGCCCGTGGCAAAGCACTATGCCAGCTATATCCACCTGTGCAGCGCTCTCGCGTGCTTCGCTCCTTGCCTTTTAGTGGCTCACTGCTGCCGTAGCTTTCGCGATTAATAAAGTTAGCGCGAAACATAGTACATTTATTCTGTCATGGGAATTGTAAAACTTCTGCAATCGTTTTTGATCGCATTTGAAAAAGTTCCCTGCTGAAAAAAACCATTTGAAATTCAAACGGGTGGCAAACTGGTAAATCAAACGGGTTCAAACATGTCGACCCGTTTGGATCAAACGTGATTATGGGATACGGGTAGCCGTTTGAAACGGTACCCGCTCGAAACGGTACCCATTTGATACAGGTGGCCGTTTGATACGGGTGCCCGTTTGATACAGGTGCCCGTTCGACCTTGCACGTGACCACACGTTTGAACGTGCCACTCGAATCGGTAAATTATGCGCTAGCCCTAAACGGGGATCGTCTGGTAGGTTGGTTATCTTAAACTTTTTTAAGACGTTCCGAAACTCATAAACCTATTTAAACATGGAGGAAACACGCAGAACAAATATGCTCACGTAGGTGCTTGCAAATGGACAGGAAAACAGATACAAAAGATTGTTTTCAATTCTCCTCAAAGTTTATTACGTCTTCTGTAGACAAGAACAAACGTGCAAGCGATCTGTGAAATGTGAGAGGCACTCTAAGCTTTTATACAACTGAGAAGATAGCAAACCAAACAAGAACCGAGGTAATTCTAGACTATGAAGGTAGACTTTCGGGAAATTACTCGCCCGGCTGCCGCGAGAATAGTGGCTGCATAATTATATAAATAATCTGGAAGAGTACGAGTAGAAGAACGGTCAATCGTTGCCAAGAAGTAGGTTGCAGTGCACTTACCATAAAAATAGCGGACTTGAAAGATGTAATCCGTGATAGATGTCGACACGGTCAAAGCAGGACAACCACACAAACACAAATGAGAGGGAACGGCTTCTTGGAAGTTTCAACACGATGTGGCGCACAAGTGTCAGTTGCCGAACCCAACCAAACCGCAGGAATTCCTGACTTTTTCAAAGAATCGCTTGTTGCCGATATAGACGTAGGACTTTTCGAACACTGATAGCTTTGGTGCACATCCAATACGTTGTCAAGAGACATCCTAATAAGACCGCAGAGTTAGGCGACAGATCGAAGCAGGTGGACGCGCTAAGTTCGAGCTGGAACTGACAACAAGCAGACAAAGAAAAAAGCGGCTGCCAGGCGCACCCTTCCGGATCTCGATGCTTATCAGCGTGTAGCTCGCGCGCGGGTGCGGGTCACGTGACGGGTGACAAGAGCGGAGGGAGGGGGCGAGGACCACAGGGACAGCCCGTCTCCCTCTCCCCAGGCATTCCAGAAAGATGTGTTTTTGTAACCTCAAAAAAAAAAAAAAAAAAAAAACACACGCGCGTGCGCGCGCGCATTTTAGCACGCTTGTACCTTGGAAATGGCGGCGGGCCGGCCAGAAGCTCGGCTTGCGCCCGAGCGAAGTACTCAGCGCGATCTCGTAGTTTGTCTGCTGCAACGGCGGGCGTGCTCTCGCAATGCTCGATGTTCTTGCACCCGCGTGTACGCGTGCAACCTTCGCTGCGTCTTGAATTAAAGTGAAACAGAGTCTAGACGTACATTCTTTCACGTGGTCGTGGTCGCGCCGTCTGCGAGAGAGATTCGAGCTGAATAAGTAAATTGAGGCAACAAAGATGGACAAAGTTTTAAAGTTCTGTCAAAAATATCGGCTTACCAACGTCGCGTGTTTACGTAAAACAACAGCAACAAAAAAAGATGTTAGTTTTAGTTGCAGTATAAGCGAACATCAGCGCAATTGAAATATAAATATAATTACTTGCATTACGCGGACGATCTGAAATCGATGAACCGGCGCTCCCAGCCTTCCGGAAACATTGACTGCCACGGCTGAAACGCTAGGCGTGCCCACGCCGCCGATCTGTACGTTCAGTATCAAACGGGCTCCGGAGAGCCGTTTGATTAAACCGGTGCAGTTTGCAACGTGGTCACCGGTTTGAGCAAACGTGCGACAACTTTGCCCAAACGAGTCACCCATTTGCCCAAACGAGCGACCCATTTGCCCAGACGAGCGACCCGTTTGCCAAAGGAGTGACCTGTTTGTCCAAATAGGTGACCGTTATGGCTCATACGGGTGACCCCTTTGAGCCATACGGGCGACCCCTTTGACAAACTGGTGACCGGTATGGTTAAACTGTTACCGGTATGAACCCGTTTATTTTCATATAGGCGCCAAATGGTTTTTTTTCAGTAGGGTTATACAAGCTTTAGCATGCTGACAAAGACTGGGAGACACATCATGTGAGATAGGACTTGCAGGCAAGAAGAGAAGGTCGTCTGAACGGCACCGCCTACCAAAGATTCGCTCTCATTTCTGACACACGTCGTCAGATGGCGTGGCAAGAAATAGAAGCCGCGGAACGATTGACGTCGCCTTCGCGCGCCGGGCGAGTGAGTTCGCTTCTGGCTTTTTTAACCGGCGACCCTGGATAGCTCAGTCGGCAAAGCACTTGTCTTACAATCCCAAGGAGGTAATTCAAATCCTGCAAGGCACTGAGGTATTCCTATATGGTTCCGTATGGCCTAACACTTTTCGGTGTTGGCTATTTTTTGCAGCCGGCTGTTACAACTGGCCGATACACGCAAACGCTAAAGAACTCGATTCAAATGGGCTAATAAAACACATTCTTTGTTAAGAATAAAGCCTAGAGAACGAAATGTGTCGCACCGATATCTTGTCAAATATCTTGCCTGCTGCACCTCGCTGTGCCTCTTGAATGCCTCTGCTGAGAATGCTGAGGAACAATCTGGAAACAAAGGATGCCCCAGCATTAACAACATTCATCCCGCTACCAAGTGCTACTGCAGCCTGCTGGCGCCACGCTACAGTAGGTCTTCTCGAGAATCAGATATCGCCAGCCGCGCGCCGTGTGGACCGTGCGCTAGACAAGCTGTGAACCGCGCTTGGGTGGCAGAAAAGCCTTTGCCGAGCGCTCACGGCGGCAGAGCTAGGCACTTCGTCGGGGACTGCATCTCCCACAAGGAGCCATTCTGTGGGGAGGGCAGGTCGTGCTCGTGCCACTAGAACGCCAAGCATCAATTTTTCGCTTGCTGAAAAAAGAAAAAAAGACTTCTCGGTGATTTTAAAATTCTTTTTCAGTAGCTCCTTATCACTGTGTTTTTTTAGGATTAGTCCGCTACTCTCATTAGTAATGGAAGGTTGGTAACAAGGTGAACTTATGACCTTAAGTAGAGACCGGAAGTGGTAGACAAAAGCATCCGACTTCTTGTCTTCTGCTGATTTTGAATATGGTAACTTTCAACTTCTAAATAAGCGGTACAGCTAGTGACAGGGGTATCAGCGGTGGCTCTTTATATTGTACTTTTTTGTGCAAAGTAATCTTCGTACTTTAGGGTATTTATTATCGTGTGGACGGCAAATTCGAGTTTGGTGTCCGATCCTTATGTTTGTACCAATGCGGAATGAATATTTATAACAAAAACAAAGGTGCAGACGTAAAGTCCACGAAAACGAGAAGAAGCGCGGACGTTATGGTGTTCCGAAAATTTTGTTTGGGGCATAGAAAAAACGTTAAGGAAGCACCAGATCGCCTTATTGACGAAGCGAACGTATGACGAAAATGGTGCGTACGACAACACTTCGTTCGGGGGATAGAAGAAACATCAAGGAAGCCCCAAAAGCCTATTCACGAAGCAAAATTATTGTAAGTTTTGCGTAAGTTCCGATCAAATCCTACATCAGCTCCAGAGGTGTCTTACGCACTTTTTACGATCAATTCACCATTAACGACAGTATCGTCCGCTTTTGTCTCGACAACTGCCATTTGTTTTTCTACGTGCTTTCCGCATGCGTCCCAAGATAAATGAGCAAGAGTGCTCGAAGCTGGACGCCGCGGAGATGAACGCCGTAACCAGGAATACACGGAACAACATGCTTCAACGGCAACGATTACACCGATCAAGCAATGCTTGGCCGATCATGGCACTCCGACGCGACGTTGCTCCGAATGTCCCTGGCCCACCACCGGCCATGGCTCGCTGAATGAAATTTCCCCGCGCGACCTTTGTGGACCCTTCCCGTATAAATAGTTCGAACCCTGAACTCTCTTTTTGGGCAAGAAGGCCAGTCTCCTCCCATCATCGCTTCCTTGTTTTCAGAGGAAGGGTGACGTATGCTTTCGTCGAGACGGGACACTCTAATCGATATTGCCTTCTTTGTTTGTGTTATAGAGCTTGAATGAACGCCGTATGGATTGCCTTCGCAACATGGGCATGCATACGTTTTTCGATACATACCTTTTATTTATACGTGACAATACGCCAACACATGTTTAGTAACAGCGATTGTAGGGGGCTACGCCTGCAATCCTGGTCCGACCTTCCTCTGCTGAGCCTCACGTCAGCCTCGATGTGCGATTGTCTTGTGGGCCTTTGATTTATATATTCGGTTGGAAAAGATTATTTTTAAAGAGGTTGCCAATATTGTCAAGAATGACAAGTGATGAGGCGACAAAAACTGAAATAAACTAAGCGTTTAATGGGGCGAACTTGTACCTAAAACAACAAGGAAATAGATGAAAACAACAGAGCGTCGCGGGCGTCGAAGTCGGCGTGACAGCAGGGTCGAGCGCTGGGGCGAGACCGACTCCGCTCGCCATGCGGAGTCCCTTATGTACCCTCGTGGGTTTCTGGAACATTCGGCGTAGAACTTTTAGGCGCGTAGAACTTTCGGCGTCTAGAAGATTCGAAACTCGATCAGCGGAGAGTGTTTTTAAACTTACGAGAACGCCAAGTTGAAAAAATAAAGAAAAGGACAGTCCGCTGACTGGAATCGAACCTACACCTTCCGCGCGAGAGTCAAGCGCGGTAACCACGGGCTCGCTCGCCGACGCGCAAGGCAATATGCAGCCCAACAGCGCGGTACCAGCGCGATTCCGCTCCAATTGGGATGGGAACACGTATGTACGTGGCTCTTGTTGACACTCTTTTAGTTTAAACTGATCGTCCTGGACGTCGGCTTTCTCCCGCGCGGCGATTTGTTTTCATGTACGTCGCTTTGCAGAGCCGTGCGGGCTGTCTCCTTAAGGCAGGTCTGATAGAGTTGCTGACTACTTAGTGATCGACCTTAATAGGTGGTGATCCCGTCCTCTGGACGCCGACAGAGCTTGGCCATTCGGGCCCGTTTAAATTAACATTTCGTATTGTTGACAGTATACTAAACGGACCTGATCCACAAACAAGCGTTATCGGAAAGGCCGCCTACGTTTGGGATACAAAATCTACGTGTACTGTTCATACTGATGTCTCCGAAACTTCATATTGGGATTTGGAACCATGGTTAAAACCAATAAATTGACGAAAACAAGAAAGAAGACAAACCGTGTTTGTCTTTTCTTTTCTCTTGTCTTTTCATCGCTTTTAACTGTGGTTCAATACGTTCGTCACCATCTAGCCTCACAACAAGGACATTTAAGGTTCGAATAGAGGGCTTAATAATTTTGAAGGTCACAATTACTTGTTTTTTACTCTTTAAATTTTGAGATTGATGTCTTGAAACCATTGGTAGTCGCTTAGGAGATTAAAAAATACATTAAATTTGAGGTACGAGGGGGGGGGGGGGGGCTTTATACTTCAAGGAAATGTCAGCGAGCTCCAACGCGTACTTCTCACCATTGTTGCCTTAATACTCAAGGATAAAATGAGGAGGACATAAACTATTTACTCTCAGCGTCGGTCGCGCTGAGGTAATACCACCTAGAAACAGGATGTTGTCGTTATCAGAATGAGATCCAGAGAATACAAACACTGGTCACGAGTGCTGCGTTAGTGTTTGGCTGGGCGTCGTGTCCTATCAATGCGTCGAAAGACGCTCGGAGACAGGCTCGTTCGTTGAGTTGGCGCCATCCTAGGGTGACGAAATTGTACGCAAGTCGAGGAGTCCCTTCACAGGACCTTTCTAGGTGGCGTTGGTTGAGCCAAGCAATGGTTTGTCTCTTCTCTCAATCTGATAGCGACTCGAAGCTAACGTCAGTGTTGCTTCGGACCGGAATATCGAAGGATGCTGAGATCAGAAGAGTGCATGTGCGGCCACTAATGTTACGCCGGCTTAAAGCAGATGTTCGTGCTTCAAAACCTGCAACTTTCACAACCTATAGATTGTGAAATGGCTGTCCTCTAGATGATGACTCTAATGGATATCTCTCGTAGACAAGCAGTACGAGGTTGGGTCTCCGACGGGTGAGTAATTCTAGCTTTGTGAGATACGAGCGATATAGGGACCATACACCTTCCGTCCACGCGAGAAAGGTGTTAGCAAGCACATACTTTGTGAAGCCGATCATCCCGGAGCTACGCACCGCGATTCTCACACCGCGCGGTACCGCCATCACTAAGCGTTGCGAATGACCTCGTCTAGACTCGGAACGATAACTTGTTTTTGTTAGCACATTTTTACCTTCGCAGAAAGATGCTGTCCTTCCACTCGCGAAAAAGAAATTGCAGCACAAGGTTAGCGACGATGAGAGTTTCGCGCTCTTTCCTCCAGTCTCCGGACTGCACCAGCCGCAATAGTTTCTGCGTGAAAAGAGAGGCATCGTGATAGCTTTTTTTAGGTGCTTACTCAAACAACGAAAGGAGAGCCGAGTTGTTGAAAGCTTATGTGTAGTATAGTCTGTTTTAAAGCTGGCGTGCAACTTTATCATAAACGCAGTTGCGAGAGGGGCTTCCACAGCACTTTCCACGCCTTCGGGACGGGACCGCGCCTGTCCCGTTTGTTCCTTCCTTCTAGTCTTTGTCGTTCTGCGCTGTTTTACCTACGCTATGTTGAGCCTACACCAACTAGCCCTGCTTTCAACTTCTCCACAAGGTTCCTTGTTTACACGAGCGCGCTCGAAAGAAAAGAATTGTCTAAAGTAACGCACATCCACCAGTATCTCCGGCAACGTAGCCTAGAGTTCTTGAGCTGAATATTTAAATTTGTGGTTTTAGGTGCGTGCGTAAATGATTGGGAAACTGAAAACAGTTTACTCTTTTTTTTTCAATCTTGCTTGAATAGCTCGAATACTTTACAATCCAAGCTGCCCACTGGAATTGACCTTGATATTTTGAACGTGTAATGCAAAACGTAAAAAAATTTACATTATATCTGCAGACCATTATTCTGTGTCGTTCCATACCAAACGATCCAGGCCCAAATTTGACCCTCACGGATTTGGTATAAAAGGTTTGTGTTATTGATTATACAAGAGTACCTCTACCAAGACATTTCTGAATTAAATATTTTTTATTTTTAGAGCCCAGCTCTTATTCGCCCCTTTCCAGGTTCGGCGGCGTCGGCGTAACGGCGCTAAATTTAGTGGAAAAATTGATGTCACATAATCTCAACACCAGTTCAATTCCCCGCTACGTGACCTCAGCACCGATACAACTCCTCGCCAAGTTTAGCGGGCAATTGAATTGGTGTTGATGTCACGTGAAGTAAATTTTCCCGCTAAATCTACGGAAAACCTGCGTATGTTCATAGGTGACGTGACACCAAGGCATGTGACGCCATTTTCCCCGCTAAATTTAGGGGGGAAACTAAATCATAGGAGGACGGCAGAGGAGGGGATGGAGGATCAGGACGATTAGGAGGCAAGGAGGGGAGGGGGAGAGGGTATGGAGAAGGAGGAAGGGCATGCCCTCCCCTCCGTACATTTCCCTCTTCTTCTGCAAGAGCTGCACTCTAATTTCGCATCACAGAGGTTTTTAGACGTCTTTCATTTTAGAGCGCAGCTTTTAGGCGCTCGTTTCCGGGTTGAGCGGCGTTGGCGTCGCTGTCGGAATAACCGCGCGCTTTGCATTATGATACGTTTCCCCGCTAATAGCCGATTCACACGACAGACCGAATCGCGATTTGCGTCCGCGGACCGTGTACCACGTAACCGGCACGTCACCGATTCCTGCGATCCGCGCCTCGTCCGCGGACCGTGTACCACGTGACCGGCACGTCACCGATTCCTGCGATCCGCGCCTCGTCCGCGGACGCGTGGACTGATAAAGTCGAGCGCCTTTTTCACTCGCGGACGTTTGGCAGGAGATTGACTTGAAAAGAGTTTAGTCTGGCAACGGTACATGGTTTTCTTGGTTTTTTGCTTTTGGGCGTTTAAAAAAAAAAATGGCGCATCGTTGTGTTTTGTGCGTTTGTTGGTTCATTTTGTCGCGCGATTCTTGGTTCTACGCGTGAACCAAGAATCTCCACAAACTTTGTCCGGCTGACGCGACGCGGGTTCCGGTACTCCTCCGGGTCCGTGTCAAGAAGCTCCTGTCAAAACTCGTCTAGCACGCCGTGATAATTCTTGCACGTCCAATCAGTATTTCACCGAGCAAGACCTCTCTTGCGGATGTCTTCTGGATGTGTTGTGCACGAGCGCGGAGCGCCTGAAGACATCTCCGAACGCCCCTCCGCGAGCCCAGAACTTTGTTGCTTCTACGCAGAACCCTTCTCGAGCATGACCATGCCTGTGTCACTGTCATGCTTTGGGTTAGTAAAGTTAGTGGCGCTTCGCGCGAAGCCTGTCCCGGCGTTTTGTCTCGATCTGTACGTAACAGCGGCGTACGATTCTTTATCGCGGTAGCAAACGTCGATTTCTCTCTTGGACAACGGTGCCACGGTGCGATGTTGGAGTTTCGCTGCACTGTGGGGTGGCGAACAGGTTCGGTCCGTCCTCGCTGGCGTCTGCTCGTCGTCTCCCTCGTGTGGATGGGCTTGGCAGACGGACGAACCGCGGACATGACGTCACGTGATCAATCCGTCCGCGCATTAGTCTGTAGTGTGAATCGGCCATAAAGTGGGCAGGAAATTTTTTCCGCTAAATAGGGCGGGGAAATTTAACGGCTAAATTTAGCAGAAAAGGTTTCTGGCTAAATTTAGAGGGATTATTGGCGTCAGGTGATCTCAACACCAATTCAGTTTTCCCGCTAAATTAGGCGGGGAAAATGACGTCACGACTTCGTGTCACGTCAGCGAAGAACAAATTCAGCGGCAGGGGGAGAGAAGGAAATGAGGAGGAGAGGAGGAGGACAGAGAAATAGGAGGAGGAAAGGACGAGGGAGAGTGGAAGGGGAGGAGGGGCATACGCTCCTCTCCGCACCCCCCTCCTCCTCCTCAAGAGCTGTGCTCTATTTTCGCATTACAGATTGCAAGCGTCTCATTTTTTTTAGAGCGCAGCTCTTAGACGCCCGTCTCCGGCTTGAGCGGCGTCGGCGTCGGCGTAACCGCGCGGTGCATTATGGGTAAATTTCCCCGCTAAATCTAGCGTAAAAATTTCCCCGCTACATCTAGCAGAAATATTTCTCCGCTAAATCAAGCGGAAACATTTCCCCGCTAGATATAGCGGAAAAGTTTCCCCGATAAATTTAGCGGAAAAATTTCCCTCTAGATTTAGCGGAAAAAGTTGCCTCAGGTCACGTGACCACCCCCCCGCCCCTCAGCACCCTTCCCTACTCCGCCTCAAGAGCTGCGCTCTAATTCGGTGTAACAGGGAGTTGTAAACGGCTTCCACTTTTTTTATTGCACGTTGAATTTTTACGGAAAAGAGGCCCCAAGGAATAAAAAGCAATAATAATAAAAAAAGATTTGAAACAAGACTGAGAAATAAAAACCGTTTTAGTAGGGTAATATAGTCTTCGAAATTATCCAATATGCCTCGCTACGCATTTCCGAGATTTCCTAAGAGTACAGATTCGTTAACAATGTCCTTTAAAGCTGAGATTCACGTTTTCTTTCAAAAGTAGTTCTGCTGTCTGCATCTCATGAAGACTTAAAGCTTTTGTGTGGTCGTGCTAAGAAAAGTAAAATTTATTCAAATGTTTGGATAAAAAAATAGTAGTCTGTTTCCTGAAATAAGTGGACAATATTGCACATATAGCAAAATGTCCAGTCATTAAAATCACAAAGGTTTAAAATTTTGCACGAAACGGTTATAAATAGTTAGAACACACAAACAAACGAACTGAATTAGAAATGTTATTTCTTAAAAGGAAAAAGATGTTTTTTTTCAATTTTGTCCATTGCTAGTTGTGAAAATATTGCGAAATATTTAGTTTTCACAGTTAAAAAGAAAAAGTGTTCTCTCTAAAAGTGCAGTTGTATGCAGTTATATGTAGTGAATGCCTGAAAAACCGAAGTAAAATTTTTTTGAAATGTAAAAAACAGTTTTTTACATGTTGGTTTATTTTAAGTGTTGACCAAATCGTAAAAACAAAAACTCTACTAAAAATAAAAAAAAAACGCAAAATCAGGCAAAAACAAGCAACATTTAAAAAAATGTAAATATTTTAAACCTAGCGATGATATTTTTTTTTGTTCATCATCTCCTTGCGTCCTCGCCCTAAGGTGAGGCTGGCATTATTGCCTATACGTGATGACGCCTGTACGACCGGAGAGGCCCACGGGCTGCTTGAAGGCTATATGATGTTGTCTTTGAGCGTTTCTTCCACTTGTTCGTGAATGACCTCTTTTTTTTTAGAGAGACCCGGTACGGCGGCCGATGCACGGCGAGCGCATCATCGTTGGTAACGATGCGATGTATCGCAACTGTTGTTTGACGCACTTTCGACGTCGTCGCAAAGCAGTCGCTAAATTTGGCGAGGAGGTATTGGAGCTGTCATCGATGCTTGGAACTCAGCTAAGAGTTAACGACGAGCTGCACCGGCGGCGCAATTCACGGTTGGGATGGCGAGGGCTCATGAGAGATTGCCGCGATTTCAACGGCGTTCCGGAGTTCCTCGACCAGGCATACGGCGGCACCTTTCTTGAGGTGCTGCGCCTCCTGTCGAACGTTCTTCACGACAGCCTCAATGCATCCATCCTGCAGCCCTGTTACGCCCCTTGCGACGCCTATTCCTCTTCCGACAAAAAGTTGTATGTTGCCTTTCCGTAGTACTTCCTCGGAGTCGACTGCATCGGTCACGACAGGTACAAGAACACTCGACCGAGGCGGCAGGTTCTCGTGGTCCCCATTGACGCGGACGGCAGCTGGCGTCGTTTTTTATCCTTTTGGATATAGGACGGGCTTTCGCAGCGTCAACCTGTTCGCCCCAAGGTCCATCATGTCACCGTATTCACACAAGATGCCACGCAAAATATGACGTCTCTCGCATGGTCCTGCAGGATGACGAACTTGACAGGTCTCCCTGTGAATTTCGACGCGATCAGAGCAGCTCCAAGCAGGCGTGATGGGTGTCCTCCGTTTACGGGTGGTGCGTATTTGCGGGTCAACCTAGAACATCTTGACTTTCTGAAGACGGCGAGAAAGCTTCCCACTCAAAACGGAGCAACCTGCTCCGGTTTCCACGAGTGCCAACGCGTCGTTGCCGTCGATGACAACGTTGAGGCTGTTGGGTGCCGTTGCACAATCGTCGTTCCGATGCTTGTCGTCGCTAGAGGTGGGGCCTTCCGACGGTCGTCTTCGGCATCTCCACCTCCAGGGGCTGCCGTGCCTAGTTCTTCCGGCGACGCAGAGGAGACAGGTTGTGCGACGGGACCTAACAATTATCGACGCCGGATTTCGTGGTGACGGTGAAGAGGAACC